AAGGCTTGTCCCTTGCATAGCCCTGCTGGTAAATTGGTGTCTGTGACCAAGAGGTATCCAAAGGTTCTGCTCCTGTCCCAGGCACTGGCCAGGGATCCCCAGAGCCAGACAATGTTGGGGTGAAGAGCGTGATGGGAACAGACATGTCCAGGCTCCAGCCATGTCCTGGCGTCCCCTCTAGACAGGTGGTGGCTGATAATCCAGCAGAGGCAGGCCACTATCCCATAGAATCAGAAAGTTTGGAGAAAGCCCCCAAGACCCTCAAGAATGGGTCTTGCTTGGAATAGCCAGTGAGGAGAACATTCCCAAAGCTCATCATTAATGTTTCCAAGTTTGTGGACATTGTGGATGTGAGTTTGGGGACTATCTTTGTTTGTTGGGGGTTTTTTTGCCTTCTATTTTCTCCACCTGCAGCCGAACATATCCACCCTCCTGGCTGTGATGGATGTGCTGCCCTCTTTCCTCAGGTCTGGTGTCAAGTCCAGGGAAAACTCAGCCCCTGACCTGCCTCAGTGCTGCTCCCTGGCCCTGTCCCACATTTATCAGTGCAATAAAACACCTACAAGCTGCCTCCACTGAGATTTGCTTGGTTGTTTGCTTGTTTTATAAATATGCCAGGTGATTTATTTCAGAGTTTCCCTATCAGGTTCACCTGACAGAACATTGCTGAGATAATTTGCAATTTGTTTCCATTGATGTGTACATTTTAGCACTTCCTGACAACAGACGACCACTAATAAATAGGAGATGAATTATATTAATCCTTTCTGTCATTTATAGAAATGTTTTATTCCCCCTTCATATTTCAACTCAGTCATATCATTGTCTGCTGAGTTATTACAATGTGGGAAAACAAGGTTTTTTAGAAGTATTAGAGACATCCTATTTTTTCCTCACAGGGACACTAAACACCTGCCTTCAAAGATAATAGCAGTAACAATTATTTGCATCATAGCCCGAGCTCACTTGATAGCTGGAAGCTGCTGTTCTTATCTCTGAGCCTCCCAACCTGTCCCCAGTGAGACAACCACATGAAATGCTGCCATTTCTCTCTGCAACACTAAACTTTGTGGATGTGTGGGACCTGACACAGAGGAAAATCAGCCGCAAGGTTGCCTTTTATGTTTGTTTTAGGTATGCAGATAAACAGTGGGGTCTAAGTGAGCAAATAAAAACAAATATGTAAATGTGGTTTCTCAAAAAAAGAAGTGCAAACTCATAATCAACTCCCCTAACAGACCATCAGCTGCTGCAGGCCCTGCCAGCAGAGGGGAGTTGGTACCTCAGAAGAGCAAAGGTAATAAAGAGTCAAGTTGTTCTCACACATTGCCGTGAGGGGGTTCCACAGGGTGAACAGCTCCAGTGTGCTTTATCCAAGTCACAGTTCTGCTGCTTTTATTAATGCCATCAACACAAGGAGAGGGTTTAGATGGGATACTGGGATGAAATCCTTCCCTGTGAGGGTGGGGAGGCCCTGGCACAGGGTGCCCAGAGAAGCTGTGGCTGTCCCATCCCTGCCCTGCTCCTACACTCTCTATGGAAAGGGGAGGCTGTCACACATGTCAGAAAGCACCAAAAGATCTGATTTTTCAAACAGCAGTTTGAGGAGTGCATTTGTAAAATATATTCATCAAGAAAAGATTATATAGGCAGGGAATGGAAGTGATAAGATGCAGATGGGACAAACAACTGTTTTTAGTATCGTGTCCTGACCCTTCCATTGCCTGAAAAATTTCAGTCCTGAATCAGTACACTGTCAAACAGCTGGCAGAATGCACACCAAATGTAAGTTTTATGAGCCTCACCATCCAAAAGCTGCTGCCATCATTTTACGACACTGGTGCTGGATATCCCTCCTTTAAATTCTGTTCCATCAGCAGGGCAATCCCATGCCCAGATTGGTGTCTGTTTGTGTGTACACTGTCTCCAAGTGGCATTTTTTAAACAAAAGTGTCTTGAACTGGCTGACAGGGGTTGTTTTGATGTGTAAAAGGAGCAATTTGGCATGGACAAAAGCTGCATTTCCCCATGCTGTTATCAACAATAAATGGTTTTCACATTGTCAGCTGTTCTAACACCAGTGTACATATCCAGAGCAGACTTTCTGTCAGGTTTTTATTATATATCTCCATGCTCTGGTCTATCTCAGCTCCATCTCTCAGCACTCCCTGATTTCTGATACAGATTTATCTCCATCCCCTTGGCACTGCTGTGTGCTCCCTTTTACGGCTGTGAAATATTTGCAGGGCAATCCCTGAACCACAAAGCACAGGGCAGGGAATGGCATCCTGTGTTCACAACATGCAAATCCACTCCCCCCTTTCCCATTCTTTCCAGCTTGGTGGATTTACTGTATCCTGTTTGCCTCTCTCTGGCTCCTTGTGCTGGGTGGTGTCTCTTAGATTTAGAGTTTGGCAGGCTGAGAAACATAATCCTGGTTCTAGCAGCAGACTGTGGAGACTTGGCAGGGCTGCCTACACAGATGCAAATAGACTGGAAGTGCTCATTATCTGAGGAACCCTCAGCTTTTCAAAAGCAAACAAACCTCTTTTTTTCTCTCCCTTTCTTCCCACTTCACCACGCTTCCATGTAAAAATAAGGCAAGAATGTAATTTCAGAAATATCTTCTTTGCCTTACAAAAATACATCAAGCTCCTAGCCTTTTCCTAAACATCCCATAAATCTTATACAATTCCCAAATTCTCTTTCCCTGGGCAGAGATATGAGGTCACCTGGGGAGAAGTGACTCATGTCAGGAAGTGCCACCAGGATGGTCTCCTAGTACAGCCAGGTCAGAGACTGGGCTTTGGGGTTCTCCCCATCCTTCCTTGCCCTGCTCCTGTGCTCCACAGAATATTTGGAAACCAGATTTTTATCCCAGGGTTGAAAACAACACCCAGGTTTGGATAGGTATTTTGGGTATATTGTCCTAAAAACATAAACAAAGGGATTTTGTGCTCTTCATTCCAGACAAACACAGAACCCTATTTGGAATAAGAGAGATGAAAAAGACTTTCATTCACCAAACAAAATATAAATAATATCAAGGCTGACTGGGGGTGAAAGGCCTGACAGAATGAGGGATGGCTGCTGCTGTTTGCATGGCCCCATGCTCTGCTAAAGAGAGAAAAGTAGCCAGCCCTGAACCATGGAATAGGCAGAGCAGGGCTCACAGCTGAGGAGGGCAAAACAAAACCTGGGTGGATCTCATTTTCACAGTATAATTCAGAATGAAAACTGCAGTTAAAATGTTTCAAATGTCCCTCGGGTGTGATTAAAATCCTTGAATCCACTGGGATTTTTCAAGTGCAAGTTGAATTAGGTTCCAAGGATTCTATTCAGGTGAGGAGGAATGAAGCCCAAAACTGGACCATGCCCAAAATGTGGTCTGCTCACCACTTTTGTCACAGCTGATGACATGACCTAAGTGTGTCCTAGTGACAACAGAGGCAATAAGACACATTGTGAACATCCTTTTTGCCTTATTTTCTTACTTGTATCTCCATCCAAGATTATGAAAAAGGAAAAGAAAAACCAATTAAGAACTAAAAATGGCACTAGGAATATTAGGAACATAGAGAAGCTGTGTCTGCCGCATCCCTGGAAGTGTCCAGGGCCAGGTTGGACAGGGCTTGGAGAAAGCTGGGATAGTAGAAGGTGTCCTTGCCCCTGACAGGGAATGGGACTGGATGGGCTTAATGTCACTCCAATACAAACCATTCTGTGATTCTATGATTATTCTTTCTCCCAGATAACAGATTCTCAGGAGTAGGACTTCAGGTATTTAATTTACAGTATCTGGTATATGAAATGAACTTATGTAAAAGAAGTACTTTGAGAAAAATGACAATCAACACAGTAGCACTGTGGTGCATCCTGGTTCCCAAACAACTGGAGTCTGGGGATGATTTTCCCAGACCTTAGCAGGCACATAAGTAAGTGATTCTTTTAAGGACAAAAGTGTTTATAATGAAGCAGAAGACTCTCCTTGGAGCTTATCAGAAGAACTCTCTGAGTTAAACAATTTTTCTCCTGGCTCAAGGGTAGATTTATAGGCACCAGATGCAGAAAAATGGTTCATGACCTATTTTTCCCTGCAGGAGTTCCCACAAAGCTGAACAGTCAGGACCAAATGGGGCCTCAGCACATGCAAACACAGAGCCAATGGAGCATGAGATAATATTTCGAATGAAAAGCATCCAGGCACACACAGAGACTCATTCATGGAAGCGGTGCCATCTGCAGCAGTGGAGATTTAACTCACAAGCAACCACAGGGCTGAGGTAACAAGGGGCTGGGTTACTTTCTAGGATTTTTTACCCACATCAAAACTCCTAAGGAAAATTTAAGGCCACTAACGGAGTGGAGAAACATAAAGAAGCAGAGGTGGCTGAAAATACTTCTTTCCTAAGTCCACTTTCCTTTATATTTGGAAATCAAGTGGGATGTTCCAGCAGTGAGCAGTGAGTGAGGAAAGCGAGAAAGAGGCCAAAGAAATCAGGAGGCTATAACTGGAATTGTTATGATGATGGAGTCACAGAACCATGGAATGGTTTGGGATGGAAGGACTTTAAAGCCCATACAGAGTCACCCCCTGCCATGGACAGGGACACCTTCCACTAGCCCAGCTTTCTCCAAGCCCCATCCAACCTTGCCTTGGACACTGCCAGGGATCTAGAGGCAGACACAGCTTCACTGGGAAGGCCTCCCCACCCTCACAGGGAACAACTCCTTCCCAATATCCCATCCAACCCTGCCCTCTGTCAGTGGGAAGACATTCTCCCTTGTCCTGTCACTCCTGGAGTGACATTTACATCTTTGTCAATAGTGTCTCTTAATCTTTCTTTCAGGTCCTTCAGGTACTGAATGGATCCCTAGTAGGAGAGTAGGAAAGATGAAAGTAGCAGGAATTTAATGGACAAAATTTGTGAATGACCTACAAAAAAGCCTCTCATGCACCACAGAACACAATCAAGGAAAAAAACTGAATTGCAGCCCACCTTTGATGGAGTTTTAGGGGCAAATAACTCCTCTCTGCTCAAGCTTGCTTGGTGATTCCAGTAGCTCTGCTTGGTTTTCTTTGATAGTGTTACATACTGTCTTCCAAAACTTTTCAAGTTTTGGAGACATTAATTTTTTTTAATCATTAACCTGACAAAAAAAAAAAGGTATAAAATATAAAACAAATAAACAAATAAAACAACAACAAACAACACAAACAAAAAAACTAAAACCAAACCAATCAAACCTCCCAACTATTTGGTTTTCAAAACTCAGCTGAACTTCCTGGAACAATGGAGAACCAGAATCATTTAAGGGACTTTATCTGGAGGTCCCATTTCCTCCTGAACATTGGATGGTGCTTGGTGCAGCCTGATCTAGTGAGTGGCATCCCTGTCTACGGCAGCAGGGTGGAGCTGGATGATGTTTAAGGTCCCTTCCAACCCAAACCATTCCATGATCCTGTGATTCCATGGTTTGCTTCCAAGAAGTCCATGAAATGTGTTTAAAGGGTCTCTGCATTGAGAATCATTAGCATTCCCTGTCAAGTTATGAAGACTCTTTGTCAGATAGGATTAGAAGGATTTTTTTGTTTGTTTTTTTAAGAGATGAAGTCCTTTTTGGCAATATCTGCATTTTGATTAGACTTACTAATCAAAGGGTAACTCTTCCAGAAAAGTGAATTTCAGCAGGACTTGAGCTCCTGAGCTGCTTTTGAAATGAGGGCAGCAGTTACCAAGTTATTTGGGTGCTTTGGAGCTGTGACCAGAAGCTCCATTTATCCCTCAGTCACAAGCTAACATCCCTAAACACTCATTCAGCAGGTCAAGGTGGGCCATGCAGTTGTGCTTGTACATGAACTTTAGTTTTTGGTGTTTGATTTCTGTGCCAGGGCAGCTCTGCTCAGTCCCTGTCTCATCCCACATTTGTCATTCTTAAAAACACAGGGCTTGATCTTAGGGCTGGGTGGGTTCTCTAAACTGCAGGTTTGGGGATCTGTGATTATTGTGGTGTTGGGATCTCTGCAGTGCCAGGATCTCTGACTAACGTCCTTCTTAACTGTGACTTGAAAATGTTTATTCAGTGAGAGAAACGCAGCTGGATTCAGTTTAACCCTCTGATAAGTCATTCACTGGTAACATCAAGTTAATGGAATTGCAGTTTCATCTTTTGAGAGCTTTGAGACAGAGGACGATCTGTGGTTCAAAAATCAAGTTATAGTTTCACACAAGAATTACTATATTGTGATATTATGTATCTAGAGGAATATAAATAAAATTGTGCAGCAAAACAATTCTGGCTTTGTGTTTTCATTGCTTTTGTAGTTTTCCTTCTAACAAACCCCCTGGAGGTTTCTCACTTCAAGCTGGATTTGAAGTGGGGCACACAAGGGATCGTTTTTCAGGGAAGATCATGGTGACTCTGACATGGAGCCTGGAATTTGGAGAGGTAAATGGCCAAGGTAAAGCTCAGAACTATTACAGAGAGGAAAAAAAATAACCTTTCTCTAAATATAGAGTTGTACCTCTGGAATTTTAAGGAAAACCTGGCCAAGAAAGTAAAACCAAACCAGGGCAGGGGCACCACCCTCTCTTTAGTTTCACACCAGTTTTACACCTGTTAATTCAGCAGCAATGTGAGGTCAAAGCCAATCCAAATTATTTCATTCCAGACATCCCCATTGGTGGACTTTGCCACTGAATCCAGCAATCATTCATGGGAAGGGATGAGTTGGGATGAAAATCAGTGCATTCTTTATAGCATTTTTGCTTTCTTTAGGAAGAGGACAGGAGATCCCAAGGACAGAATCAGGATTTCTTTTTCCCTGTTTGCTACAAAAACAACTTCCAGCTTTGCACTGAACTTGGTGGATGTCTGGGTGTCCACATTCTCCAGCCAGAGCTATTCCTAAAGGGATGTCTTGTTTCTGACAGTTTTAGTCTTCCTTTTACCTTATATATTTGTTCTCATAGCTCAGAAGAACATGGAAATGCCTCTAGAGATCTACCCCGTTCTTTAAACTGGGGCAATAGAATTTTTCTGGGGAAAAATAATTGCTTAAAAGTTGTTCATATGCCTTTGTGATGTTATCCATTGTGGCAATTTTTGGGATGCCTAATTCACAGAATCATGGAATTCTAAGCTTGAACAAGACCTTTAAAAGTCATGAGCTTCAGGCCCTCAATGTGGTCAGGAAGCACAGAAATTATCCCCTTCCATCTGGAATTCCTTCCAACAGCTCTGGTGACTCTTCTGCATGATTTGGGCTTTAAAGGCAATAAGGTGTATTTAATGCAGAATGTGCTTTTGTTTTCTTTTTGCCTCACAGTTTTTCTACCTGAAACAAACTTTGTCCTGACAGAACATCCAAGTGTTGGTTTCATTTTGATTTCATCGCTTCACTGCTGTGGCAAAAAAACACCTCCATACAATCATGGGATATCCTGAGTTGGAAGGGACCCATCAGGATCATGGAGTCCAGCTGCTGGCCCTGCACAGACACCCCAACAGTCCCACCCTGTGAATCCCTGGGAGCGTTGTCCAAACACTCCTGGAGCTCTGGCATTTGGAATCTTCTCTTCTCTCCACAGATATTCAGATACAGAAGATTAAAATTTTAGCTGGAATATTATACCAAGGAGAGAAAAAAAAGCGGGGGAAAGAGAAGATGGCTTTTTGTTTCCCTGTCTCAATGGACACCTTCACACTGTGAAAGGTGAGATGTCCCCTGTTCACAGGGAGTGGAGGAACAAACTCTTTCCCTTTATCTCTGTTTATTAAGCACTGTCCTATTTATCTTGCCTGACTTGTACAGGGGGAATCCTCATCTGAGACACCAATATTAATAACTTGCCATATTTGTTTTCATTTTGCTTTGCAATAGAGGACAGGAACATTATCTCAATTAGTCTTAGAAATAGAGGCAATGCAAATACAACAAGCCGGAACATTATCTCAATTAGTCTTAGAAATAGAGGCAATGCAAATACAACAAGCCCGAACCTTGGACCACTGGAAACTCACGTGTGATCTCTCACTCATTTTCAAAAAAAAAAGCCAACAGCATAAACTGCTTTTAAAAGAACTATTTCCCTCTGTTGTAGTTGATAGCTTGAAATATATCTTTTCCCCTCTTTTAGTTGGGATCTCCCCCCCACCCCCAGCTTCTCTTTCTCCTGTTTACCTGGTGTCAGGTTACCACGGTTACTGAAGTTTCTCTCCTCAGCCCCACGGCGAGAGGCCGGATAGAGAAAAGAGAAGACCCTGCTGGCATTTCCAGCTGCTTGAAGTTTCTTTAGCCCAGGAAAGCACGGGCTTGGGAGAAGAGAGACCCTTCTTTCCAACACGCAAGTTTGTAACTTTGTTGTTCCTGTCCCAGAATGCCTCTGAGCTATGGAAGCTGAGAGGCCATGCTTACCTTGCCTGCCCTTTCTTTCCCCCCTGTGTTGCCAGGAAACCAAGCCCACCCCCTCTCCCCCCCTCTGCCCTTCTGTGGAGAATACTCCTACACCTTTGTGGGCATTTGAAGAAGGTGGTGTCTGTTATTTCTTCTCTCGGTGTGTGTAACCTTGATTTGTAGAAAGTTTGTAAGATGTACTAACTGAGAAAAATAATTGGTCCTTTCTCTGATGTTCCCTCCCTCCGAGAAACCCTGTTAAAAGAGACCTCCCAGACCCCAAATCCTTTGTCTCTCGTCCTTTGGATTTCCCTTCACAGAAATAAACTGTGGCATGCAAACCAGAGAGAGAGTCCCCCCCTGATTTCTTTACTCGCTCTATAGACTTGAATTCTTGAAGAAAATGAGTGAACCCCACAAACATATGCTGGCTCGAAACTCGAGTGAAGAGAAACCTCATCACTGAGCTAGCCGGGCCACACTCGAGGAGATCGAGTCACTAACCCATACTAAAAAAAAATGCAGTAATGAAGGAGAAGAGAGTACTGTAGCACATTTATTTCATCTAAGTAATTCTGGGTACCTGGCACATCAGAGACAGTGGGAGACTCTTACTATAGTATATTATCTGCATGGAACATGTTCCACATCTGCCTCTTACATACCAGATTCATCACAATACAGTACCAGATTCATAGACTTACAGAATGGTTTGAGTTGGAATGGACCTTAAAACTCATCCTCCCTCTACCATGGGTAGGGTCACCTTCCAGTAG